TCCTTTCTTAGAAGCGTCACTGTAGACTATGAAGTTCCTTTCCTCCGCATCTAGAATGGTCAACACTGGTGCGCTAGTGAGTCTCCTTTTTAGCTCTTGGAAGCATTCTTCGCACTTCTTAGTCCATTCATACTTCCTTTCCTTCTGTGTGAGAGCCGTGAGCGGTGCTAATAGCTTCGAGAATCCCTCTACAAAGCGCCGGTAGTATCTCGCTAAACTAAGAAAACTACGTATCTCTGTCACACTCTTCGGAGCTGACCAATTACTAACTGCTTCGATCTTGGCGGGATCCACGGTAACTCCTTTGGATACCACGTGCCCTAAAAATTGTACCTTTTCTAGCCAAAATTCACACTTTGAAAATTTGGCATACAACTGGTTCTCCTTCAATATTTGTAAGGCAGTCTTCAGATGCTCCTCGTGCTCTTCCTTTGTCTTAGAGTATATCAGAATGTCATCTATGAAGACGATAACAAACTTGTCCAGATGATCCTTAAATACTCAGTTCATCAAGTCCATGAACGCTGCTGGAGCATTAGTCCGTCCAAAAAGCATCACGAGGAACTCGTAGTGTCCATAATGAGTCCTAAAAGCTATCTTTGACATGTTACCTTCCTTTATCCGAAGCTGGTGGTACCTTGAACACAAATCAATCTTAGAAAAATATGCAGCTCCCTTCAAGTGGTCGAATAGATTGTCGATCCTCGGCAGTGGATACTTGTTCTTGATTGTAATCTTATTTAGCTCCCGATAGTCGATACACATCCTCAGTGTACTGTCTTTCTTCTTCACGAACAAAACTGGTGCTCCCCATGGCGAATAACTCAGGCAGACAAAACCTTTATCTATCAACTCTTGCAGTTGCACCTGAAGCTCTTTAAGCTCGGCCGGGGCCATCCGGTATGGTGCCTTAGAAACCGGTGCTGATCCTGGCATCAATTCAATCTCGAAAGAGATCTCTCGCTCTAGAGGTAGTCCTGGTAATTCTTCTGGAAAGACTTCCACGAATTATTTGACTATTGGAATGTCCTCCAGTCCCAACTTTATCTCCTTAGACTTGTCCACCGTATTAGCTAGATACCCTATGCATCCACTAGCTAACATCATACTTGCTCTTATTGCAGACACCATCTGCACTGGCCGCTCTTGAGATGTCCCTGTGTAAGTGAACTCTCTTTCCTCAAGTGGCTTGAATGTGACCTTCCGGCTTCTGCAGTCGATGACGGCGTTGTATTTCCTCAGGAAGTCCATTCAAAAATGACGTTGTAATCGCTCATACTAATGATTATCAAATTCACGTACAATGTTCTCCCACAAATAATTATTAGAACATTTTGTAACTAATAATTAGACAATAAGATCTCTCTGGAGGGCAAGGCAGTCCTAAAGGGTTGATTTATTCTAATCTTTTGCGCTATCTAGATGTTTCGTAACCCTAGATGACACAAATAAATGTGTTGCTCCATAATCAAATAAAGCGTAAGCATCATGGTTGGCTATAGGAAGCTGACCTGTCACCACTGTGGAAGTTCCAGTTGCTGCATCTCCCCTAGTATAGGTATAAATATGAGCTTGGGGTTCCGGAGCTTCTAGTCTTCCTTGAGAAATCTGGGGTCTGTTGATCGTGGCTTGGATTGCATGCAGCTGATTTTCTGGGGCTCTCAACTGATTCTGAATCCTCTATTGATTCTGACTTGCTCGGTTCTAGGGGTTGGAATAACAGTCCTTGGCAAAATGGCCCTCTTTGCCACATGTGTAACAGCCGCTTACCTAAGCTCTGCATTCTCCCAGATGCTTCCTTCCACACTTGTTACAAGTAGGGAGATTGTTGTTAACCTGTCCGACATTGTTCTTCTTCTAAGCTTGGCCTTTCTGGTTCCCCAGGTTGAAATTTCCTTTCCTCTTATTACGGCCTTGTCCTTGCTGCTTGTTACCTTGGCCTTGGTTACCACTCGGCCCCTTTGATTGGGCTTCTGGGTTTTGTTTCCCTTTAGCCCTTTCCTCTTTCTTGGCTTGGAAGAATTTAGCCCTTTCCTCCCTATTTTGGTTGACCTAGTATTCTGCACGAATTGCTCGACCAACACAGTCATCCACAGTCGTAGGCGGTCTGCCTCCGCCGCTAATTACCACCGCCAAGTCAGTTCTAAACATCTTCATCATCCTCCTAACTTCCTCTCGCTATGAGGTCACCATGTGTGGGCATAGGCGAGCTAGTTGCTTGAACTTCTGCACTGCATCTACTACGGACAAATTTTCTTGACGGAAATTATTAAAGTCATCCTCTTGGGCGGCCATGTTGTCTAGATTGAAGTACTTCTCATTAAACTTCCCAATAAAGTCCTGCCAAGTCATCTCCTTGACATCCCTTTTCAGCTCCAATGTCTGCCACCATCCGCGGGCCTCCTTCTTAAGCATGTAAGAGGCACACATGACCCTTTAGTTTAAATTGAACTACAATTTCATTGACGTAATTGAACTACAAATTGATCAATTATCAAGCCCCCAAGTAATTGGTATTTTGTGAATTCATTGACGTATAGTATGCTATGAACTAGAATTTCACTCCCAACAAATTGCCAATAATGCGAAAGCTATGCATTGACCGTGGTTGAGGGGTGATATTGAATTCATTAATTATGTGCAACCAATTTCGAAAGTTGGCCCACCCGAACTTTAATCTCACTCTAGTCTCTCTCTTGTCTTTGGAGAAAAGGGCCTTTTTGAAGATGGAAAGCAAATTTTATGGGGATATCACTGCAAAGTGCAAACTGAGAGTTGGATAGACCCATTACTACTTTCTGCTAACGACGCAAAAAAAAAAAAAAAAAAAGAAGGTAATAGTTGTTCGAACAGTTGTATTGCAACTGGCAATGAATAATTAGTAATTACATAATAGCAAAGGCTCTTCACGTAGATGCAAGTGTTTTATTCTTTTGTTTAAGTAGATGTCCCTAGTTTTGTCAAATTAGGAAATTTTTTTTTTTAAAATGACTTTCGTAAATCCTTCATTGATATTTGATAAATTGTTGATTAATCAATCATTAGTTCATCAGCGTATACCGAGTGCACCAATTTTCAATCTTGTACATTATTGATTCTTAAATTATTGTAATCCGATAACTTTTTTTTTTTTAATTTAACAAAACTAGAAACATTTACAGATTTACTAATAGTAGACTTTAAAAGTACCATTTTTGCAAATATGCCTTAAAAATTTAGGAAGTTGTGCAGCACATATTCATGATCATGTCGTATTGTACGTATCATATTGTATGTTATTGTATTATAACATACAACAACCATATGAAAGTGAACGACAATGAAGTTTAGAAACGACAATATCTGAAACAGTATAAAATCATATAAGCGATTCACGAAACAAAAGACTAAACAACAACAAACCTTCGCAAAACGGCAGTTTTATTGAAAACGAAAACAATTTTAAATAGAGAACAATTGGAAACCACATAGAAAAAGGACAACGACTTGATAAATACAAAACCTTAGAAAAAGCCACGGGAAACAAAAAAATAAAAAATAAAAAAAGCGTTCAGACGACAACATCCTAAAAACGACAATGCAATTGAAAAGCAACAAAATTCTATAAAAACGATCGCATCGTTTAAAACAACAACAATTTATAGTAATGTTGGTCTTCCAGTGAAAGATACGACATCCAAATAAATGACTATAACAACTTAAACTCGACAACAGCTTTAAAAATAGTAAAATTTAATACGATTATATCTCAAATAAACGATGACAACATAAGAAAACGACCACATCTCAAATGGAGAACGAATTGCAGGAAAAAAAGTACTATAAAAACAACAGCTAGCATGTTAAAACGACAATGTTTCAGAGAAACAAGACTGGAACGCTCGTTCCTATGGCCAGGTTTGTTCTTTATCTTTTCTTTTCTTTTTCTCATTCAAACATACCTTAGCCTTAAATAAATATTTGTGTAGCAGCCACAAATCTTAAACTCAATATTAAATATTTATTTCTCAATCAAGACTGGACTAGTTTCATTTTTATGTATCTTTTTCTTTGTAGGAGTTTCTCTAGTAGAACAAAAAAAGATGAGCTACCAGAGTAATTCTCTATTTTTAGTAGAAATTCTCTGTTCTGCATACTTTTTTTTTTTAATTTGATGTAATTTTAATCATATTTAATAGTCAGAAGTAGACGTTATTGATAGGAGGCTCAACAAACACACCTAAGCCTTAATTAAATGTTTGTGCAGTCTCATGTTTAGATAATAAATTGCAAATATAAAAGTTAATCTTTGCACATTGCCTCTCTTGAAAAATAGTAGTGCTCATTGCAAGAATGGCTAAAAGAATCACGATAAGGGTAGAAGCAATCAGATTTGGAAGGCAATTTATTCATAGGTTAGAAAAAAAAATCCACAATTTCACTCTTTCTCTACTCAGCCAAACTCCGAATACCTCTCTGTTTTATTGCTTTTGCACATTGTGTCCTGTAAATAATTTGTCACGTTCAGCTCTATTGACAGCTGCTTCTTGACGCTATCTGGCTAAGTACGACAACGTATTTTATGAGGAACCAAAATATTAAACGACACTTCTGAGAAGAAGACTCTTAACAACAACTTTAAAAACGGTAACTTAATAAGATGCGAAATATTTTATTGTTTAAATTTTTTGCATGTAGCCATTATAATTTCAAATATAAAAACTAAAATAAACAAAATATCATTCAGCTTATATAAGTGAAGAAAGAAACGAAAATTTTTAAAATTTTCATTTAACTCAAGTCCGTTTTAAACAAAATTATAACAACAATATCTTAGTAAAACTGCATAAAATACTGGAAAAAAAAAAAACAATTTAAAAAGACAAACAAGAAAAACCTAAAATTTTATAATACATAATATATAGTGTATTGCTAAAGACGTTTTCAGGGTTACTGACTTCCTATAGAAAAGGGCAAAAAAAAAAAAAAAAATCATTATTTTCCGGAGTATCAGCTAAGGACTCTTTTTAATTGTTATTAAAGAAAAAGGTCGCAGCCTCATACCAAGAAAAAGAAACTCTATATACAAACATATTCATGAACTAAGGCGCTTCCGATCTTCAATCTTCTTATTGAAAAATAGGGTGAGGGGTCAACGAACACCAAGGAGAGAGCAACAAGTGCTACACAAACTTATGCAGCTAAAAGTGCCATATTCTTTCAAAAAGGTCCTTTTTTCCCCAGCTAACCCAAATATATATTCTAAAAAATACAGAATCTAACTAATTTTCTTGTCTACACCTTCTTATGCATAATCATCTATTACACCTTCTAGTTAGTTCATCACCAAACTAGCTCACAATCCAAGCTCAAAAGAAGAGTGCCAATTTTGGCATCTGAATATTCCAATCCGTGAAAACTCAAGACTGTTTCAAAAATAACTCAGTTCATGTAATCTCTTGATGATGATCAGTTTGGTCTCTGACAACTGAGGTACATATCTGCAAGATTATAACTCAGAAAAGGGCATTAGCAGAAGATGGAAAGAATGAGGGAAACCATGCAGAGGTTTCAGAGCCATTTGACGACCGCGTGGGGGCAGTTGAGTCATTTCAGAGACACGATCTGGTGGCCACTTCTCAAGTCCTCCGCGTTGTCTCCCGTCGTCTTCACCGTCTTGTTCTTGCTCTTCGTCGGCGCGTTTGTCTCCACGCGCTTTCTCAACTCTGCGGTAGGTTTTTTTTTTTTTAACCCTTTTTATTGCGCATTTTATTGGCCTGCGACTTGCTTGTTTGATAGAGTCAAACAAAAAGAAAGTAAAAAATTAACAACGGCGTGAGAAAATATCCGAGGAATGAGTCATTAGTCGCCACGTGTTATTGTTAACGCCTTTCCTCATCGTTAGCCTTTTTCTTTTGTAATTTTTTTTATATTCTTTTAATAATAATTATCTCTTATTGACTCTGCAATATAATCTAGATTCTAGACCAATAATGTATCATCTCTACTATAGAGTTTTTGACTTTTTCCTTGTCTACAATATGCCGTTATGTCAACCTCGGGAAAGAAAGAAAGCAACTCCCATGTTTAATTTAGACACGAATTCGCTATTTTCATTTTATATTGTGTATTTTTTATCTACTGGAAGTAAACTTATTGTATTTTTAACATATAAATAGATAATTGTAATGCCTTCTAGAGTTTTCCATCTATTCAACAGTACAAATAATTGCCAGAAATTATTGTGTTCTTTCCGTTATTAAATTAAAGAAACCACGTCTATGGCGATTACAATATTTTTTTTTCTGTCATTAAATTAAGCAAACCACGTTTATAGCACTAACAACGTTTTATACTTCCAAGTATCTATTGTCCCAGTTAGTGAGGATTCGCTAATCTGTCTCTATTATATTTTAATTCACTATAACATGCAGTAGTATAGACTGTTGACTTTTCATCCACGTACTTCGCTAATCTGTCAGAATCTAGCTGGGCCAACTATCACCAAAATCTCCGAAAGGCCCCCTCAGAAGATTGAGATCCCACTGAACTGCACTGCATACGACACTACACGAACCTGCCCCTCAAATTATACCACTGCCCACAACAAACAAGATGATCTCGACCGTCATCGCCTCCCACGTGTCCAGACACTTCCGATGGATCTACGAAGACCTGAGACCATGGGCCCACACAGGAATATCGAGGGATACGGTGGAGAGGGCCAAACCTACGGCCGATTTTAGGCTTGTTATAGTGAATGGAAAGGCTTACGTGGAGACCTATTGAAGGTCCTTCCAGACGAGAGAAGTTTTTACGTTATGGGGGATCCAACAGTTGTTACGGAGGTACCCTGGAAGAGTGCCTGATCTCGATTTGATGTTTAATTGTGGTGATCTGCCACTTATTTTGTCAAAAGCATACAGTGGGGCCAATGCCATGTCAATTCCTTATTTCGTCATTTACATACTCAAAATTTAGTAAATACACACACGCACACATATTCATCAATTCTTGATACGTTAAATTATACATACACAATCGGTAATTTGAGGGAAAATTAAGAGGTAATCTGGTCAATTTTTTATTGGCAAAATTTGACCGCCAACAACTAATATATACTTTTTAAAAGGGCTGAATTGATGTGGTTGAAGACTTTATTTACTGGTATTGTTCATATCTGGTTCTAATATTGAGGCGTAGTATTTCAATCTTTAATTCACCGGTAAACCAAAAAATAGGCTCATGATATACTCATTGCACTGACATCCAACTTTTAATAATGCTAAAATGGAAAATAAATAAATAAATAAATGCTGAGCTGACAATATCTTATTTTTTTTCCTCTTTAATACTGACGTTTAAGAAAATCACATTCAATACTTATTAAGTCTAGGATTTTTCAAGTTTTGTGATCAATTAAGAGCATCAGATAAATTCATTATGATGAGTAACATTTAATACCTTTCTACCTATATTCCACACGAAACCTTATCCTTTGAGTTTAAAAGAAATGCAAAAAGAATCTTTTCCAAGGAAAAAATTTTGTTTACTAGTTATTTTGACAAATAGTAGAAATGACATGTATGGTGGAATGTGTATAGGCCAGAGATAAACATAAAACCATGGGAGGCATTGCTGAAGGAGTTGGAGGAAGGAAACAAGAAAAGCAAATGGGTGGATAGAGAACCTTATGCCTACTGGAAGGGAAACCCAGAAGTTTCTCCCAGCAGGCAAGACCTTCTCAAATGCAATGTTTCCAAGAAACATGATTAGAATGCTCGTCTCTATGTTCAGGTTTCATTTTTATCTATTTGTTTCTTCTTCTCAATCAAACACATCTTGGCCTTAAATAAATATTTGTGCCAATATTAATATACAAAGTCTCATGTCTAGAGATGATTAATCTTTATCTTTAGTACATATCTAAGTGAGAATAAGTCTCTCCCTTAGATTTGCGAAACTTTTCGCACATGAGAGGCGTGTGGAAAATGCTTCGCAAAGTGTTTCCTCTCTCGTCATCAAGAAAATTAAAAAAAAAAAAAAAAAAAACTTTTTGAACTTTTTTTCATGCCTTTTGCTTTAGATCTTTTTTTCATTTTGTCTTTTTTTCTCCTTCTTTTTATTTTTTTTAAACATTTTATTTAAATATTATTTTAAATGAGTCACGTGCACAGAGCGCACGTCAATAAAAGGATAGTCACAGCTGAATGTCTCTCTTGTTGATTATGATCATCGCAGGATTGGATTAAAGAATCACGGGAAGTGTACAAGCAATCAAATCTGGCAAGCGAATGCATTCATAGGTTTACAAAAAATATTTTGCTCTCAATTTGCTTAGCCAAACTCTGACTACATATGTTTTAGTGCTTTCCAATTTTCATTCTATCTTTTTTTGTAATTTATTTCGTTCAAAGTTGAAAAATCTCCATCGATCCTCTTAAAATTCATGCAGGTATAAGATCTACATAGAAGGAGTTGCTTGGTCTGTTAGTGAGAAATACATTCTTGCCTGTGATTCTGTTACCTTACTTGTAAAGTCCCATTTTTATGATTTCTTCACTCGAAGTTTGGTACCAATGCAACATTACTGGCCTATTAAGGATGATGACAAGTGCAGATCCATCAAGTTCGCTGTTGATTGGGACAACTCTCACAAGACGAAGGTACATATGTTATCCTATTAATCTAGCACATGTCATGGCGAATACAAGATAAATCTTATTCAAAATGTTTTGTTCGTCCGAATTTCAAGTTACAAACCTTGTTTTTCTTTGATATATGAAAAGCTATATAAAAAATGTATCTCTTCCCTTAAGTTTTCCAGCTTTCAATTTGAATCTCTTCCAAAAGCTTCCAAGGGACAAGGGGTTTGAATTTTAGACAAGAATCCTAGAAGCCGTCCTGAATGATAAGTTCTAAATATAATTTCCAAATTTTGTCTTCTTATCCTTTTTGTTTTCATGGATGCCATCAGGCAAAATCCATTGGAAAGGCGGGGAGTAGGTTCATTCAGGAGGAGTTGAAGATGGAGTATGTATATGACTACATGTTTCATCTTTTAAACGAATATGCCAAGCTCTTGAAATTTAAGCCTAGTATACCTGAAAAAGCAGTTGAATTCTGTTCCGAGTCCATGGCATGCACAGCAGAGGGACGTGGGAAAAAGTTCATGATGGATTCAATGGTGAAGGGTCCTGCAGATAGTAGCCCATGCACCATGCCACCTCCTTATGGTCCTTCTTCTTTATATTCACTTATTCAGAGAAAGGCCAGCTCCATTGAAGAAGTGGAAATGTGGCAGGAAAAGTACTTTGGAAAATCAAAATAAGAAACCAGATTAAGGGAAGACATTTCACTTAATTAAGTTTACACTTTAGGATTTATATTCTCTACTAAAAATGAACTTAAATTCTGTTGTCTTTTACTAATATGATGTCTGATGTATGTTTTAAACTGAAAATTAAATAACATTGAACGATTCAAAATCATTGGCAATAACACTAACATAAATATATGGTTGCTTCTGGTAGAAATATATGCTAATTACTTAAAACATTACAGCGCCAATCTTGAGCTAATCACTCTTGTCGTTTCTGGAAGAAAATACCATCTTTTCTGGCCAATTCCTTTGCTTGTTTGATATCACTACTTGTCAGTTCTATGTAGACATGAGCTATAATTCTGATCCTTATTCCATCTATGTTTTTAAAGTTAAAAGAGAGTATAGTAGAAGCGACATTTTAAGATCAAACCTGCAAAATGAACATGATCTCGCTTACAACTAGAGAAAACGACAGCAAATTTAAAAACGACTCATCTCAGAAAACGTAGGATATCCTTTATATAGCTGCAGAGGTATTCACAAAATGACAACGAAAGACAATATCCTTCAGTATAGATTCACAAAATGAACATGATCTCGCTTCCATGCAGTCTAACTATGTTGGTGATGTATAACTCTACTAATTTCTCTAGGGTATACGTCACTTTTATGGTACAAAATGGGCAGATTTAGTCAATCTTTCAACAATTACTCATATTGCATCATAACCTTCACTTGTTTTGGATAGTCCCACCACAAAATCTATGGCTATATGCTCCCATTTCCATTCTGGAACATCTAAAGGTTGCAGCTCTCCAGCTGGATGTTTATGCTCCGCTTTAACCTTTTGACATGTTAAACAACGACTAACGTAGTCTATGAGTATTATGAGCTTCAAAAAGAATTTGACTCTTAAGATTTCCATCTTTTGGAACACAAATTCTTCCTTGAAATGTGAGTTTTCCCTTATCAGAGACTTTGAATTCTGTCTCTTTTCCTTCTTCAGCTTCTTTCCAATACTTGTCAAGAGTAGAATCTTGACGTTGAGCTTATATCATATTGTCAAAAATAGATGGTTGTATCCGCAGAGTGGCCAATTTGCCTGTAATTAACTCCAACCCTAATGAATGAATATCCTTTTGTAAATGGGTTGGAAATCTATCCAATGCCATATGACTTAATTCGGTAGTCTTACGACTTAAAGCATCAGCTACACTATTGGCTTTTTCAGGGTGATAAAGGATTTCACAATCATAATCCTTTACTAACTCCAACCATCTGCATTGCCTCATATTAAGTTCTTTCTGAGTGAAGAAATACTTGAGGCTCTTATGATCAGTGAAAATCTGACATTGTGCACCATGTACATAATGTCTCCATATCTTTAAAGCAAAAACTACTGCTGC